GAAATGGAAAGTAGAAGAAAAATAGCAGCAAACAGAAAAGTGATGGGAACATATGCCTTGGAGGCAATATAGGAGGTGGTGTTCTTTCTGGCCATGTGGCAAGATGTGGTTCCTAAGTCCTTTACCCAGTTTTCTTGCCTAATTAAACTTTTAAATTATTTAACTTCCCGCCTCTACTCTATCTCTTCTTCTCTCTTTCTTTCTGTTTGCAGATAAAAATAGGGTTCAAGGTAAGATCACTTTGTCTTCTTCAATTATTGAAAGTTAATTTATCCCATTTCTTACTGTAATGCAAGTACTGTGATAACAAAGCATGCATTATATATTTATTATTCAACAACGTACTTTCTTACACCATGAAAACACGTGAGGAATTGAGAGACATTTTCTGCCTCTCTTCCTCTATATGTTGAATACATTTAGTAGTGGAAAGAAAAACAGAGATGACAACTGGAAATGAAAAGAGTAGATAGAGACACTGGTACTGATTATTCTGCTACTATACTACTATTTATAGGGTGACCATATAACTCATATTTGGAGCATGATAATAGGTCTTTATTGCAGGTGATGCAATGGGAAATCCAGAGTCTAATGGAGCTTCAGATTCTTCATCCTGCAGGAAATGAACCAGGTCAGCCTAAATGATGAAGATGCTGTGTGTTTGCTTTGTATACAATCATAACTGTGGGATAACATACCTATAAAATGTTGAGATATAATAAATTCACCAAGACCAATAGAAAAGGTTAAATTTTATTGAATGGGTGATAAGATTAGGTAGTTAAATCTTTAGGTTCATATTGTTATAGGTGAATGATTTCTCTTCATTTAAGCATAATACCTTTTCTCCTCGTTAGCCATGTTTCCATTGTTACTCCCTCCAGCAGTCCTGTAATTGGGGAAGGGCACTTGGCCTGACTCGATGTGCTTGACATCTTCCACGAGACGCTCATAGTGCCTCTTGACCTCCTCCGGGGTTTTCCCCCTGACAGCCTTGGCAACATTGTACCAACGGTCAGGTGTGTCCTGGTCATACACGGCTAGAGCCTGCTCAAAAGCCTTGTTTTCCTCAGCAGTCCAGGAGCCAGAACCCCGAGAAGACATTGAACTTGATGCCATTTCTTGGGACAGGAAGTATCACTCTTAACAGGTAATTCTTCAAAGTAGAAAGTAAGGAAATGGGTTGGGGAAGATGCAGAGGAAAGGATAGCAAAGAGGTTATGATCAAGGGGATGAATTGCTGAGTAAAGAGGCTACAGTAGCAGCTCTTTATAAGCAGAGGAGAGGGGGTCAGGGGTGGGGTAGCGCCAGTTGGCATGGAAATCTTGGCAATGTGTTTTAAGAATTTTAATGATTTGTCTCCTTAGGAACCACAAAATCAAGTAGGACAAAAAGGAAGAGCAACAACTTAGGAGAATCAGTATCTCCAAGGACTAAGTAAAATTATAATAAACCCTTCCTGCGTTATCTGCATAATGTATCTTCATGAAGTAAATTTTCCATATCAATCATGTGGACTTGCATTTTAGAACCCACATAAAAAGTTCTAAAAACAGTAAAAAAAGGCTCTCCCACTTTTTGCTAATAAAACTTTAGTTCAACATGGTAAACTTTGGTTTATGGAAACTGCTTCCAGGACGGCAAGGTAAAATTGGGTGATCATATAGGCAGCCTCACGAGATAAACAATGGCAAGGACTACAGAGGAAAGAACAAAGGATAAATCCAAAGGTAATTTTCCAAATTGGTTGAGATTTCTTTATTCAGATTTTAGATTGCTCTTTGCATGTTTTTATTATCCTCTTTTGCATATACGATCAGGGTAGGGGCCCATGGCTGGAATACCATGTACCAGTGTTCAGTATTGTACAAGAAATTTCACGTGTGCACCAACAATGGTAGATGCCTTTAGAAATTTGATCAAAAGAGTCCATGCACTGAAGGGATACATTTTTATGGAGCTGATCTTGTGTGTACTCTTTCCTGACTCCTGAACAACATTCCAAGCACTCTAGCTGGCCATATGACCCCGTACAATCATCATATTGTGTCTTTTTTTGCTAGGAAAGACGTACATTACCTACTCTCTAACAATGGGGACCCTACGTGGGATGCTTGCTGTTCTATTACAAGGTTTGTGTTAATAAATCTCTGATTCAAAATCTGTTTGCAAGAAGCTTTAGAAACTTGGACTTCTAGACTGGAAAATTGCAGTGAAAGTTAATGCCTTAAAGGGAAATAATCATGTAGCTTATATTTATTCAATGACTGTCATTTCAATAGCAAAAACATCAACATCAACGGAAAGAATAAATCCATGTTTTTCATGATTAACAATTGGTTCAAAGGAGAATGAGTTGATGGCCAAAATAAAGGAGAATGAGTTGATGGCCAAAATAAAGGAGAATGAGTCAATCACGCAGGACAAGCAAGTAATCTTACTATTACATGGGAAGCAATGTTTGGGGAGGGTTAACGAAGCAAAATATAAAGTGATAAGTAGTAGAGGGTGAATTATTCTATGTCAGTGTTTTAGTCACTTGATGTGTCAAACACTTTGAAAGAATTGCTATATATTCCGCAAATGATCTCTCCCTTTCTTTTTCCTTTTTTTTTTTTTCTTATAGCTTTACTTTAGGCTAGAGCTGATTTCACAAATATTGGCTTACACAATTGTCCAATAGCTCTTTGATTTTAGTGCATTATAGCCTGAACATCATTATTTCTTGCTTTTGCTGAATTTGGTTTCCACACATTAAAATGGGAAATTGATTTGAACCCTTTACTTCTATAGGGCAAAACAGATGGTCTGAGCTCGGTTGGCCCACACCCCTCTTCTATACTCAATCCTGTCAATGATAAAGATCCATGATCATAGCTGATATCAGCTCAGTCATGGGCAAGCGAAATGATAGAATCTTTGTTTGATGGCCCAGTTAGGAGTAATTCGTGACCAAGTTGAGATTTCCTGTTTCTTTTCTGCTTCTAGTCTTTTCCAATTACCCTGAAAATATCAACAAAGATCTGGTTTGTGTAGATTATATGAATCTCAATTCTGGCAAGCCATTTAATTCACATGGTAAACATTGTCTAATGTGATTTACGTGAAGAGAACATTTCTTTCTTTGGTAGGAGGATATCAAGAGATGATAAGTTCTCTCTTGACCCTTAGATACCTCTTAATTGATATGTTGAGGTTTATTAGTTTATCATATCTTCAATATTAACAAATTACTATCTGTTTAGTTAGGAAGCTTCTTAATCCAGAAAATGACCCCAATTCTTTGGGAGGGACTAAATATCTGCTTGGAATAACAAGTCAAATCTAGAGAAGCATCAGAATACAGAGGCCGGTGGTGGTGATGCCATGGATTTTATTAGGTTGCAAGTTGGTTAAGGTTAGCCCCAGGCTAGGGGGCCTACTCTTCACTAAAATGCAGCAAGTTGACTTCTGAATCGTCTATTCACAATTTCTAAACCCCCGTCAAAATTAAGATTTAGAATGACAGGAATGGGAAACTTCTTTTTCTCTTTAGTTGTAAATCCATGATATGTGATGGCTTCAGTATTGGACTATATTCTCATTATGAAACACATTGCTTTTATCATCGTCCTTTAATGCCATATTTTGTCAGTTTAGTGCTCATAAGCCTAGAATTTCTTTGGCAGATTAATCAAAACAATACCAACTCTTACCAGGATTAAGGAGATATTGGAGTGTGGCCTATAGTGACAAGTTGCAGGGGTCATATTCTTTGGTTGGCAGTGATCATTGGCTGAAGAATTAGAAATACAATTTTTCTAGGAATCTGTAGGAAAAAAGTGATGCTTTGAGATACACCTTGTTGCCGATATTGGGAATCCTTATCATTCAGCCTATCAACTTGAAAGTAATATCTATATTTCTATCGATTCCTTTCTCACTCAGGACTTGTTCTTCTGCCAAGTGGTCCTTCCCTTAGAAGTTGGAGAAGTTGGATTCATTCACCCTTCTTTCTTTGGAAGGTACACTTTTTTATAATCAGATCTCTAATGGGTTTCAATTTTTGGTTATGGTACATTCCCTTAAGATTGCTATGAAATAAAGGGTTGATCTTACAGATTTTGTTAGACCTGTTAGATTATGAACCATGAGGACCACGGAAGCAGGAATCTGAAATGTACGCAACTTTATGCCGAAAAAAAAAGAGTCATCAGCCGCAAAAGAATAAAACTAGATTTTCCTTTTTCCTTTTTCCATGGAATCTTTGAATAGAGAGAAATTGTAGATCATTGAAAGCCTCAATTTGTTGATTTAGTCTTTTTCAGTGCTTATGGGGGAATATGCAGGGTAAAATGCCCCAACTTGTGAATTATATATATTTGCATGAAGGATCAGTCTCTTAGCTGATGATAATACTTCTGTGGCCTGCATATGCTTCCTGAGATATGATGCCATGTACAAGACACAAGCCATGCAAACCATGAAAAAAAAAATAGAATAAGAAAGAAAATAGATAATCAATAACTAAACAATTTGCTTTATAACCATTCAAGTTCTGGTCAAGTTGGTGAAAGATCTAGTGCTATTGTGGGGCAGAATTGGATTGCAGTAGTTGCCTATGCTTGTACACTGACTTGAGATTTTAAAGCATGAATTCTTACGTTCATTTGGGGTCCATTTCACTTTTGCCAAATCACAGCCAAAAGTCCTAGCGTTTCATCTTGTGTCATGCTCTTTATGGTCTTTATGGTCTTTAAGTTGCCAGCAATGTAACATAGAGCTATGTTGAGTAATGTCCCTGAATTCAGAGATTTTTTTCTCAATCTCTTGAGTCATGTTAAATCTTGGTTATTCTACAGATAAATCATGCTCTCTCTCTCTCTCTCTTTCTCTCCCCTTTTTTTTTTTTTTTTTTGCGAATACTAAATTAATATTAGATGAATTTCAGGTAGTTAAGTCATCAATCCCACAAAAAGAAATGAGATATGCCTCCTCAAGATTATATATGGTGCAGATTTAATAAGAAAGGTTTCATTTTGCATACAGAATTTGATGGTCTAAGTAGGATTGAATCTTGTGCAATAATAAAATCCTACTTTCTTTATGGAAAATTGGGAGAGGAGACTGTTAAGATTATGGGGGATTATTGCTGGACACGGAAACTATTGATTTTAGCTTTTAAAATTGATTTTCTAAATCATAAAAATGGTTAATAATAATGTTAATATACCAAATGAGGCTGGTGCAGCCCTTATCATTGCCACAGTTTCATAATTTAGTACATAATATACATATATATCATAAGAGGATCAAATGAAAAAAATACTATGGACTCATCAATATTAAGCACTAAGCAATTAACTATTTTTAACATTTACTAAACAAATTGACTAAAAATTAATCATGAGAGGGATCAAATGTTTGAAACCAACCTCATTTTTTCAAACAGTTTGAAGGTTTATTATAGCATAACTGAAAAAGCTACACAGTTTTGTAAAGCTATGCATCTATCATGAGGTAGATTAAATGAAAATCTGCTGTGGACCTATAATATTGAGCAGGAATCAATAACCCATCTTCAATATTCACAAGTGATTGATCCAAAATTTTCAAATTTTGAATTAAACAATATTAATTTCCTCCAATATTTTACATCATAATTTTTATAATAGTTAGGAAAAGCAGAAAAAGGTATAGTTTTTATTCATAAAAAGACTCGCACAAAACACTAGATTGGATTATTAGTTTTTAACATTGCAAGTCACTCAAGAATTATGTCAAGTCATTTTACAGGCATGGAAGGGTAGGTGATAATACAAGTAATGCTTCCATGCGTACTAAGCCATGAAATACATGAAGGAAAAGCAAAATGCCCCAACTTGTGAATCAGATTCATGGGTTGAGGATCAATCTCTCTTAATCTTGGTTTAAGAGTGCTCGGCTGTCCTCATAAGCCTTCTCTTTTTTTTTTTTTTGAACATTTTTACCATGTGGCCGGTAGAACCGTTGCCTTTGAAGAGGGGAAATGAACCTTCAAGTGTGGTTAACGTCACTTGGTCCATAGGCCAAGTTCATAAGCCTTTTTTTTTTAATCACAAAAATATATAAAATATTAATTATAATTACTAAAATATACAAAACATTAATTACATATTTCTGTGTAAAGCACTCTCAAACTAAATTTTAATTGATGAATGATGATAATTACTTCACTGAGTCACTGAGATACGATGTATGCAACACAAGCCGTGTAAAGCATGAAAACAAAAAAATTTGGAGGAGAAAGAAAGAAAATAGACAATCCAGTAACTAATTTTTTTTTTTTCTTTTTAAGCAGCGTCAACAACTTGGTGAAAGATCTAGTGCTATGCTGATTCGAGATTTTGGGGCATGGATTCTTATGTTCATATATATGCTGGTCTTTGTGGTGTCGTTCCCACTTACACCAAAGCACATCGAATTTGATCTTGTGTCCTGGTATTTAAGTTGCGGGCAATGTAACATTGAGTAATAATGTTCAATAATTTGACTGAATTTTAACTTTTTTTTTTCAACCAATCTTTTGACCATCTAAATTCCAAAATCACATTATCAGAAGATACCATCTTAATATCATCCGGTGAATTACAAGTAGCTAAGTTATTCATGTCCACCAAAACAAGATGAGATCTTGCCTGCTCAATGGTATACGTGGTACAAATGCAATCAGATACTAGTGCTTAAGTCCTAAGCTCTTGTGGAAGCAACTCCCAAAGTAAGTGGTGGTCCTATAAGGAATAGTTCCTCATGAGTAGCGAGTCCCTACTCTACCAATCTGTATCTTTCCCATTTTTAACCGGAATAGGAGACATTAGAAGAAAAAATCTGCCTAGACAATTGCCTAATCTAGGAGGATATGCCATGGATTTGTCCCTTGTCCTTTTCCTTCCTTTCATGCAAAGAGCACATTAGTAGAAGATATTACTTTCTTCAACAAAAACTTATACACGAGGTTGTTAGAATATGGTAAATTAGTGTGAGTAAGAGAGTAGATTGAGATGCATAAATAAAGTTTAAGTTTTTTTTTTATATATTTTTATTAATTATAATAAAGAAACTTTATTTGATAGCAGCAACAAATACAATAAACCTTCAAAAGTTTTCTTTTTAAGTTGACTTAAAATTTTCATATATGTAATAATTCATTTATTAAACATTTATAAAAATTAAAATTAAAAATTAAAAGTACATGACTAAGAAGCCTAAACATATTACTATTAAGCAAATCAAAATTTGGTATTATATAATTCTAATCAAGAATAGTTTAATCTGAAGTAGTGGTTAGTAAGGCTAACTGAGGAGAGAGTTACTGCCATCTTGCACAGGTTAACAAGGAAAAAATATTTAGGGCAATGCCTCCTTATGTAATCACATTATTTACTCTATACGTTAGTTTCCTCCAATATTTTAAACAAGAAGTTTATGAATTCTTAAAAATGAGTAAATCAAATTAAGCTTCCACACCTTCATAATTTACTGATAAAAGTTTTTAACACTGAAATTCATTCAAAAATTATATAAATAGTCATATTACTAGCACATCAAGGTAGTTGGATCATTTAAATAAAGAATGCTTGCACGTTTCATGCACACCATACATATATATATATATATACACACACATCAATCAATATTGAAAAAATAAATAAATTAAATGCAATCAACCCAATCTCATCTTTAATAATCATGGGATGGGTTTTTAGTAACAGTGGTAAAGCCCGCTATAGCCCCGGCCTTGCTCCAGCAGCCAGACGGAAAATGTAGGAGCAGAGGCTGAGACAGGAAGCCCAACGAGTTATATATTCATTCAAAAAACTAAAGAAAATTCTACTTTGTTTGAATTTTTTTTTTCCCCTACTGATCAAAACCTTACCGGAATAATAATAATAATAATAATAATAATTAAATCTCCGGTTTAATTCCTTAATTATTGTATAAACTTCTCCGATTTGATCTCTAAACTAAAAAAAAATTTAATTTAATCCATACTATTTATCAATTTAAACCCAAATTAATCATTTTATACAAAAATAAATGACATATCTTATTATTAATGTGACATGTAAAAATTAAATAATAATTTTTTATTATGAAATAATAAACACGTCAACTATTTAAAAAAAAAAGAAACAACTTGAGGTCAAATTGCAATAAAGATCAAATCAAGGATTCAATTGAAGGACCAAATTGAAGATTTTTTTAGTTTAGAAACCAAATGAAAAGTCTATACAATCATTGAGGGACCCAATTGAAAATTTAACCTAATAATAATAAAAAATAAAAGAGAGAAGAGCAGCTTTCTCAACGCTAGTCAGCCTTTGCTAAGTCTAGAAAGGTGAACTAGAGTAATTTTAGCAAGCAGAACACCTGCACCAAAAAGAAATTAAGCACTATTGTTCTATAATTAGTTCTTCGCACATGAAAGAGAATTGAAGATTGAAAAAAAAAAAAATTACAAAAGGAAATACTCTCAACTCAACGCCTAGTTCTACTAACCCACACTGGCCACATACTGCACTTAATGCGGCTACTGTATAGCAATTTACAGATACCCATCATATCCAGACAATAACCTGCTAGCATGGAAAAGTTAATTTATTTCTTTTCTTTCTCAGCGTAGTCTTCTTCATGATCATAATATTCTTCGTCATCCTCATCCTCATAAGAATCATCATCATCATAGTAATATTCTTCGTCACCTTCATCATTATTGCCATTTGGCAGAAATTCTCTGGACCGTTGTCCCCTTAATCGCTCTTGGATTCGATCTCTGATGGCTGTGCCCTATAATCACCCCAAGTTCTCAATTAAGGCCAAAACATTTTGCTAACTACATTCGTAAACATTCTAATCTGTGTGCCTGATATTATTCCATGCAATGATTTGCTCACCATTTTATGGCAGCCCTCTTCGAACATCTCAAGAAATCCAGCAACCCAGCGATCAGCGTTTTCTATCCACTCATTTCGATGCATAGCAACTGTTTGTATCTATATGCATGTGTAGGAGAAAAACAAAAAGGAAAATGTTATTGTTGAGTCAATGAATAAAGCAGAAAACAATATTTAACTAATATCAAACAAATACACGCTATAACAGCATTACACGGGACAGCAAAAAATAGTGTGGCATTTCTCTTGTTCAACACTTCATCGAAGAAAATGGAGAAATTATCAATGAAAATTAAATTTGAAATAAAGCCTAAGCAGCTATCACCTAGAAAATTAATCTCATTGAGCAATGAACATCCACTACATAACTGTCTCACCAATTAACTTGCAATTTCTTAGGCTATTATGACATGAAAACAGGACTTCTAAAAAATTCCATTTGCCTCTCTTGAAGAAACAGAAATTCGTTTTCCTAAGGTTCAAAAAAATAAATAAAATAAAATCAAGCATATTAACATTATACTTAAACTCAACTGCCTTCACCTTTTTGTGCTGCAGTGCAGGCCTCTACCAGGACTAGCAAATAATGAGGAAAACAACATTTAACTAATATCAAACAAATTCAAACCATAACATCATTAGATACCACATCAAAAAATAGTGACATATTACTTGTGCAACCAAAAAAAGCAGAAATTATCATTAAAAATTAATTAAAAAAAGTAAAGCCTAAGCAGCAGCATCCGTCTAGGGGCAATCAACATCTGCTTCATAACCACAACATAAATTAAATTGCAATTTATCAGACTATTTTGACATGAAAATAGAATTTCTAAGAAATGTGCTATAGCTGTGAACAGTAAATACATTTTATCGTTACTATTTTAGAGTGAATATAGACTTGATTGGGAGTTTTGAAAAAAGGTTTTGTGGCATCCAATATCGTGAAACAAAGCAGTAATCAGTCAAAATGAAGAGATTGAACAAGCAAGGAAGAAAAATAAGAAAATCTTTGAGGTGACAGCTCAGGTTGAATGCTTCACACAGTCCCAAAAGCACAATCTCAAGAAGAAATTTATCAGCGAAAGATACCATCAATCCTATAAAGAGTATAACTTCATATAGATTCTAATCCAAACGGGATCCAGACTCTGTATTAGGAAAGTAGTTATTAAACACTAAAACAACTCTTAACCTCGAATAAAGATCCACTAGTAATAAGCAAAGATCACATACTCAAAATAAAACCCAAGAAAGCACTTCAAGAGCTGTTGTTCTCATCATTTGAGCTCTCAATTAAGTCATCATCCCATTAAAGGAATGGCATAAGAACAAGCCTTGACCCTTGATGCTCCTTTTGTAAACCCTTAGGGGATGCAGCAGGTGCTCCATTATAAGCACTAAAAATTCCTGAGGCAATCCAGCTTTTGAAAAATGCAGTGACTCTAGCATTGGACCCATCAATCTAATGCAATTTTGACTTTCGCAGTTATAAGAACTATGTTATCTTCATCTCTCTTCAGTAAGTTCAATTCTTTAAAGAATTTCATTTCATTTCTATCTTGGGATCATCTTGCACCTCCAGTACGGTTGAAGGAACTAAATCAACTACACAGGTTGACAGGGATGAATTTCATATATAGAGAATTACTAGACCATCTAAGCAAACATATTACACTCCAACTCCAAGGAGGTACATCTAAAGAAATCTCTATGAAATAGATTACTAAGAGAAAGTGTCATAAATTGTGTAAGATGAGGGTAAGCTATTTTTTGGACATTTTGGATAAGTTAGCTTTACCAAAATAAAAATAAGGAAAAAGGAATCAAGAGGTAAAGTTGCAAAAATATCAAAATAAATGCATGGAAAGCTTATGCTCTGGGTATCAATGTAAATTACACTAAAGATAATGTACAAAATTTTTTGAACTAATAATATGAAGCTTACTGAATGATATTATTGAGAAAAGAAAAAAAGAAAAAAAGTGTAGAGTTTATACCATTATCATATAAAATTTACTGTATAATCACATAGCTTTGACCTTTAAATAGGATAACGAATGTAAGTTGAGGAATAAAACATAACCTAGAGAAATATTTGAGATATAAATAACTTCCAAAAGATTCAACATCTTATGAAAATAATATAAGTGCTGGTTATCCATAACATAACCAATTTTAACCATAAAAAAAAAAAATAAAAAAAAAAATAAAAATAAAAAACAAAATAAAAATAAAAAACAAAATAGGGATAGAAAGACAGGGCACTTAGGCAGGCAATCATATGAGAGTAAACATACCTTTTCTCCCACTTTTTCTTGATGTTCCTTTACTTTCTCTTGTAATTTCTTTAATCTCATGTTCACTCGTAATCTCTTTTCCTATCACATGAAACAAAACATCAGGATAGATAAGTTCCAAGTACAAGAAATTATGGCTCTTTTGGTTTAGCTGTTAGGAAATAGATGATATCCAGTGGTTGATAATCATTGTTAGCTATAATTCAAACACCCTTTTTCGTCACTTAGCTAAACCAAACAAAAGTTTGTGTTACCAAAGAAGGATTATTTAAGAAGTTTAGAATCTAATATCAAAGAAGTAAACTAAAAACTCATGCCTTCACATAGCTAACACCAAGCTCCTTTCTTGTATATCCACGATCCAAGTTCCGCATCACATATTGATTATAATCTTTAACAATCCTCATTATGATATCTGACGTAGAAATTCCTTCAGTTCGTTTTGTTTCCTTGAATCTCCCAATGGCTTTGACCTGAGATCGGAGTTCATGTAAAATAATGACAAATTATATAAGAACAAAATCAAGCCAAATAGTAAACAAGGACTTTCATTAGGCTTACAAACTCATAGACATCCTTCCCAGCTCCAGTGGCATCAGCATAGCTATAGAAAAATTATGGTGGAGGAAAGATTAAAAATATCACTTTTCTGTTTATATTCATCATACTTTTCACAAAAATGAAGGAAAAACAGGTTATCCTTACGGAAGAGAATCATGAGCCACATAGTCAATTTTGTGCTTGTCAAGAAATTCCTGATTGATCACCCAAGGGGCATCAGGAATGACTTCATCAACCCACCTGCAGAAAAGAACAATAATATCCTGATATAAAACCTTTAAATTTTAATGAAACAAATACAGTTAACTTCCTTGAATTAAAAAAGGTAAATGCCAGGAAATGATGCACCAAAAGTCCCAATCAAATCATAAATCATACAAGAAAAGAATTGAAAACTAATTTACAGTTAAGATGTGTATCACCAGTCAAAAAATTCTTTCTGAGCTGAGAACTTCAATAAGTTTAGAAGAATGAATTCATACTTGCAATGGCGAAGGGATTCATAACGTTCCGATTCTGTCATAACAGTTTTGCCCTTTAACTTGTGAGTCACTTCATCATTGCAACACCCAACGAGCAGATAGGTGTTAGGGAACCTAAATTCACAGTTATAAGGGGAGAGCACAGAGTAAGATAAAATGAAAAAAAAAAGTTCTGAAAGCAATGCAAACCATAAATAAGAAAAGCAATACTAATGAATGGCTGACTAAGATCACAAAGTAAAAAAAACAAAAAAAAAAAAAATTCTATGAGATGAAACTCAAATATAGAGTCATATAAGATTATCAAACTAAGGAAAACCGAGAAAATAGAGGCAAATTTCCTTCTTGTTACCCGAAAATTAGGCCTATCAAAACCTAAATGAATCTGAAACAAGCAACAGGAACTCTTAAAAGCAATGAATTATGGATGCATATGACATTTCCATCAGATTATGAAAAGCGGCGTGCAAAAACACATGGAAACAACACAAACTAGAAAATAAAGGAAACATCTAAATCAAGCCATCGAAGCCATGGGAATGGGACGGGAAGCAGATCAAAGCAGAAGGGAAGAATTGCAGAAATAGATGCATAGAGAGGGAGCAGTAGAGGAACAGACGATTTCTTAGCTTGTTCGAGGGAGCGAGCATGACCGAAGTGGAAGAGATCGTAGATCCCATCGGCGTAGACGCGGACTGGGAGATCGGACGTCGGCGGATCCGCGGCGGAGGTGGAATTATTATGAGTGGTGGAAGATGCGGTTGCCATTGGAATTAGGGGATTGGCGTTTTTCTTTTCCAATTCGATAGCTGCTTTTGGGCTCCGCCTCTGTACTTCCTGTTTGTAGCTTCCGCGTCTTCCGCATCGAGGATCCTATTTTTGTAGTTGGGCAAAAAAAAATAAACGTCTTTTTTTTTTTTGGTTGAGTGGGGAAGAAATTATCACCTCCTGAGCTCCTGGATTGTGACTGATTAACCCCTGACATTTTTTTTTATGGAAAATAAACCCCTGAACTTCTCGATATGGATTATTGGCCCTTCTCCGTGATCTGAAGTCATTTTTCCATCCATAATAGACGGAACTCGCACCTTGTGGACCCCAGGCGCTTACCTGGGCCCGAAATTGGTGAGATGGGCCTAAAAAATGCCTACATGGCAAAGTTTTAATGAGTTAATTGAAAATATTAATTCAATTCTCAATTTCATCTGGTATATGTTGGGAGTGGGCCCAACACCCAATTCGGGCCTTGCACTGCAAGCCCAATTCTACATCTGAAAGCCCAAGACAATCCCGGATATGGACACACTCACACATTTGTCTAGACGTAGCCATGTGGGTAGTGACACGTGGGGCAACCAAGTGTTTACACGGGTGGCCTTTTGTTATCACAAGAGATTATAAATACCCTCACCTACCTCCATTTAAGATAAGAACCGATTACTACACTTCTCTCTTTGCAATTACTCTTAAGAGCTTCTCTCTCTAAAACATTAAGTGTTGCTAATTTAAGTGTTGGAGTGTTTTTCCCAATGAAACATCTTCGGGTTTTCCAAGTGTTAAAGTAATTGAAGATCTCTACAGTGTAGGTTCGCAAAGCTGCCCAAACAATATATAGGGTTATCTCTTTTTTCTTTTTCTTTTTTTTTCCCTCTCTTTTTGTGTGAGTGTGTGTGTGTTTAGCATGATGGTCTAATTAGGAGAAGGGCTGTTGAGGTTATTTTGAATTTGAGAAGGGAAAATTTTGCTTGGTTGGGTGAGAGAGAATCCCTGTGGAAGGAAGGAGAAGAAAAGTTGAAGAGAGAATGAGCTGGGGTCAATAGCAGTCCCTAAGACTGCAATTCAAGTTCTATATTTGGTTTAGCTAAAATTATGATGCTGTTTTGTTCCATAATTGGTGGAAATAAACCTGTAATGGAACATACATTGTACTATACTCTTTGACC